AGCAATGGCCTCCAACCTAAGAGCGATGGCCTCCAACCTAATAGCAATGGCCTCCAACCTAATAGCAATGGCCTCCAACCTAATAGCAATGGCCTCCAACCTAATAGCAATGGCCTCCAACCTAATAGCAATGGCCTCCAACCTAATAGCAATGGCCTCCAACCTAATAGCGATGGCCTCCAACCTAATAGCAATGGCCTCAAACCCAATAGCAATGGCCTCCAACCTAATAGCAATGGCCTCCAACCTAATAGCAATGGCCTCTAACCTAATAGCAATGGCCTCCAACCTAATAGCAATGGCCTCCAACCTAATAGCAATGGCCTCCAACCTAATAGCAATGGCCTCCAACCTAATAACAATGGCCTCCAACCTGATAGCAATGGCCTCCAACGGCGTCCAACCTAATAGCAATGGCCTCCAACCTTATAGCAATGGCCTCCAGCCTAATAGCAATGGCCTCCAACCTAATAGCAATGGCCTCCAACCTAATAGCAATGGCCTCCAACCCAAGAGCGATGGCCTCCAACCTAATAGCTATGAAGACCAAGAGCATGGAATCGACAAGTGAGGTCTGTTTTTTTGTGAGCTTTCGCACGCTGCTTGTTTAGGCAGGGCTTCCGCTGAGCTTACGCGACCTTGATTAGTCGGCTTTTGTTGTAGGTTTGCTTCCGCGCGCCCAAGAAGCAAGGGGCCAAAGCTGGTTTCAAGTAGGGACACTTCAGTGAAACAGGAAAGGATGGTCTGTTTTGCAACAGCGAGAGTTTGTGCATGAGTCCGCGTGCTCCTTTTGCCACAAATCTATCCGGAAGCCGTGGAAAGCTCAGATGATGAACTGCAAGCGAAGATTTCGTAAGTTGGAAGAGGATACCGCACAGCTTTGATACCGCTTCAACAGAGTAGAACCCCGTACAAGTAGTATAATTACATTGATCACACCTCTTCGAAAGTTGCTGGGACAAACTCGGTAAGTCCACACCTGTTGCTGCTTGAGATTGGCTCCTTAAAAGCAACTGACAGCCTGCAAGTCGCCTGAGTACTACTGTATCGGTAAATGACTGGCATTCAAGGGCCCTAAGCCATCACCAGTGTGAGCATGAATATCGACTTAATTCGACTTAGATTTGCTCCAACGACCCAGAAAAGGAACCAATTCCCTTCCAATGTGCAGAACCGCAAAATCAGCAATCCCAAAATCGAAGTGAACGAGACAAATCTCTGTAGATTCATTGCAAATTGCGCGATTTGACCCAACGAAGATCATCTAAATCCTCCAAAGCATCCATAGCTCACACCCCAGGTCCAGGTGTGCAGAACCACACCCTGTGCGGCCACGACAAGAGTGGATGCGATAGCCACAGACTTCATTGAAGGCACCTGGCCATGCTGCAAGGTGCTCACAGATTGCACTAGAACACCTTTCTGGGATGCCTCACTCTGCACTTTGGACCAATTGATAATTGAAGTGGAGAGGACAAAGAGGACATTGGTCATCATTGGTCTCTTGGTGGGGTGCAATCCATCGTTTGTCATATCTTCTTGGTGTTCGAAGTATGTAGCTAGTTGGGACAACGACACATCGGGACGAATTGGTAATATCACCTTGCAAGCTGAAACGAGACTCCAAGTAACGAACCTATCCTGCCATGCGAAAGCTGAAGAGTCGCTGATAGAACTTCTCCCCCCGAAGGTCGCAACAAGGATGTCTCACAAGCACAAGGAAAAGATCGGACAGCGCTCTTTGTGGCCAAGACCGCATCGTAGAAAGGAAGAACATGGAGAAACTATATAAACCATCTAATCTCACTAGAAAGCGCATTGAACCACACACCACACTTGCTAATTGAACCTTCCATTCACAAGTCAACCATCCTCACTCCCTCCAATCTGGATGCACCGGAAATCCAGCGAGGAAAGGCTTCGATTGAAGGTCGGAGGGTTCGAGCAATCGAACGGCTCTGGTGCGCAAGCGCGAGATGTGGCACAAGGCAAACTTGACTGAGCATCTCATAAAATTCCTTTTCATCACCTATCATTGGGGACTCTCTTTTATAGAGCTCCGTGAGCAACAACTAGCTCGCAAAGCGCAAAGATCAAGTTTGCTGTTGAAACTGGCCCCGCCAAAGTCAGATCAGAAATCCAAGTCGCAAGGCCACAGAAATCGTTTTGTGCGCCAAACATCGTCTAAAGACTTGTCTGAGCTTCCCCCGCCAATCTCACGCAGCCGAGCGCGTGCGGCCGCCAGCTGTTGGACTGACCGGTCGCACCTAAGACCGGTGCGAGACGGGAAGTCGGAAGTGGTTCGTTTTGTCATGCGTCTTGAACTGGATGAATCTGCAACTGGGAACTGAGACAAGGAATTGATGAGGAAACGGGCTTTTGTAGGTTTAAGGAGCTGGCGATGCTTCGTGATAGTTCGCAGGGACAAATGGCCAAACAAATGGAAGATGGGAATGATCGAAGTACAGGCGCTACGGGCACTACAGGCAGGATGCATACTCCTCGGGGTCTATAGACGGTCTATCCATGTTTACGATCTATCGGTGGTGGATGATGCTGAGACCCACTCCATGGTGCTACAGGAAGTGTATATTGTTTCTAATAACGAACCTTGTTACTACTAGTAAGGCACTTGTTACTAGTAGCGATGCACTTGTTTCTAGTAGCGTCCTTGTTACTACAAGAGTTCGATGGCAGCGGTGGGCCTTTTGAAATCCTGATCACGAAAGGTGTTTGTAAGGTTTATGTGAAGTGGCGATGGCCTCCAACCTACTTAGCAATGGCCTCAGTCGATTGTGAGGGTATGGTGTGTAGGAGAGGTCTGATGATGTAATGGAGTATCTCCCTGAAATCCTCTTCAGTCCTTAAACACTTCCACAAAGTTCTGAACCTCACAACCTCTGACGTTGGAAAATCTCTTGGCAGCTGGGACTCAAAGTGGTGTTGGACCATCTCTGCTGGCCAAAGTTCTGAATTAACTAGTTTGAGGCATATATATATATATAACATTTTAGAAATAGCACATTGAGGAATTCCGATTGATTTCCGTTGCTAACAGCGAAAAGTTGGGCTGACCCCTCATCCAAATACAATGTGGATCATCTTTGCAAACGCCTCCATACGACCATTCTATACGACCCCCAAAGAAAGCACATTCGGATTCTCTTTCACTCATCACACCTGTAGCTTCTACAACTCTTGTGTAGGATCGCAAAGCAATAGCGCACCATAGCGCACCATTCCACTGATCGCTTCACTTCGTCATCTCGTTCTCGTCGATGGCTTAGCCACAGGGCCAAGCGGTGGCCCTGAATTCTCTGAACTCACTCGCCACAGGGTCCGCAGGGCCGCGCCAAGCCGCTGGATGGGCCGCTCTTCTGTGCTGCGGTCTTGATCGTCTTGCAAACGTGCCGCCGCCGGTCCTGACACATTTCCACAGTTACAGCGGTGCTTGGGTTTCCACAGATGGTTGGCGGTTGGTCGAGGCGGTTCACTTACTTGGAACTTTCCAGAGGGGAATGACCAGTGCAGTAAACCAGAATAGTATGGAGCAAACCGAGTGGCAAAGTAAGTACGTATGATCCAGCTTGTAAAGTTCATGTTTGAACCTGCGGAGCCAAGTTCCACTGAAACGATCTGCGAGTGAGCTGCAGCCGGGGCTGTCATTGTGATTGTGCACTTGTCAAAATGCTCAGAATCAGCTAGTCCAAACCAGGCAAGATGTAATTAATCCCAAGATCAGCTTTGTAAATGCCAATGAGAACAGGAGCCCCCACAAAACCAAAAGAAACGCCATAAAAAAGCTAGGCCCCCACATGCTGTAACTCGAGATACCGCTGATGGCCTAGCAGGCTATCTGACAGCAGTATCATGCTGTGCATTCCTTATGTGCAATGGGTCACAACCTCTGCTCATCATCTTAACCCGTTTGTTGATCTGTTTTAATCTGTCTCATTTTTGTTTTGTATTGTTTGTTGTGTTCTTTTTCGGAGTCCTTCTTGGGATCGAGGATGCCCAAACAAACAGCGCTGCTGTGAAGAAAGAAGACCAAGAAGCCTTTGGCGAATTGATCCGGAGGGATGTTCACCGGACTTGAAATTCATTGTGCAAAGCAAGTTTTAGCCTTAGGGAAAACATAGCTACGATTCACACCCATGACCTGTGAATGAGATAACTCCACCCACTTGTTCTATGATTCTGCCCATCTAGATCACATCCAAAGCCAAACCTTGGTCTAGCTCATCTTCTTGCCCCCTAGGTGGCATTCGCTTTGGAATACCTCTTCTCGTCTCTCCAACAACTTCGAGTTCTGATCACACTGAGAAGGGGAAGCGCTCTATACATAGATAACATGTGCAAGGTACCCCTTGCAAATGCACCACAACATGTAGAAAAAAAGTACTCCACAATCCATCCAAACAGAGATGCTTAATATGGAGTTGCCAAAGAGTGCCAAAGGGATTTTGGTCAAATGTTCGGTAGACTAATTACACTAGCCCGCTCATGACTGTTGCATCAACAACTCCTTCAAACCTCAACGTCCCCTGCCCTTGCATCATCGAAAGGCTAACTACCAGCAGCCGCAACCAGGCGTGTCCACCTCAGCACATGACCATGCATGGCCATCTGCGCCGTAGGGAGCACATGGCGTTGGCAGACTTGAGATCAAACATGGTGTCACAATTGGATGATGCGGGAACATAGCATCGTGCGAATGATGAAACAAATCTATGGACATCAAAGGACTGTCTCAAGTGCTTGCACTCAGCTCAATACACTGAAACGTATGTTACGGATCAAACTTGAAAATGCTGGCTAAGAACATTTGTTGCTGGCTAATGCCCAGAGCTAACCGATCTAAAGGATGGCGAAAAGTTAACCCGACACCAAATAAGTGACAAATAATCTAGACAAAAACAAACAAAAAAAACATGCAAAGAACATACACAATGTATCACAATGTGCAAGAAACATGAACAAAGGTGCCAGTGTGGCTGCAAGTCTTTCTGCCAAGCTGCTCAAATGAAACATCAGGTAAACCTCAGCTCTGTGTTTTACAACATATTCAACCCCTGAACTCTGGAATGAAATTCGGACCACTGACCCTTTGACACTCTGTTGGATGGTGCTCAATCATGACTTTCTCTTGTGTGTGTGATCACTTTAGCCTAGAACATGTCAAAATATTAACATGAGTCGGGCGACTCAACTGCTGACTCAGCTGGCAACCGCACAACCCCTGCTATCAGAACACTGTTGGAACATTCTGAAGCACATTTGTTCAACGGTTCTTTGCCATATCACCCTTAACTGAAATCAACAGGTGGGAAAGAATGGGGCTCCAAAAGCCCAGACTGTAGGGGATGCATGGAAGCTAAAGCCAGCTCACAAAGAACGCCCTACAAATTTGCGTACAAAGAAAGGCCTTCCAAGCCGGATCAGGCCCCCTTAGCTAGTCGGTGGTATATTCAGTGCTGATGCCCAAGCCCCAGTCAGCTGATAACCTAGATGATCTACGACGCTGCAATCAATTCATGTCTATAGCATGCTCAGGTACGTTTGAGCAAAGCGCCACCAAGGGCGTCAAGGGAATCCAGGGGCATTTGAATGTGCTCGGCGGGCCACACCTCGGGGAGAACGACCACGATCGTCATCCGTTCTTTGACCAAAAAATCTAGGAATCACAGTGCTTCTTCATGAAGTCCGGAGCTTACTTTAACCTACTAGCTACCTCTTCTAGCGGCCTACCCTCCCCCCGTCCAATGCCCGTCTAAGTTCTACCGAATTTCACGAGACATATCTAGAGGCCCTTCTTTTTGAGCCTTCAATGAAGGGCCACTTTGAGTCCAAAATAAATAAGAGTAAACCTGGGTGGCCTGCCACAGCTACTGCAACAGTTAGAACTTACTCCTGATCCATTCGTGTCCTACTGCAATAGACATGGTTCCTTAGTTCCTCTATGGGAGAATAACCTTTGCACTCCAAGGCGCTTGTAGCCGCAAAAGACCTGTGCACCAATGAACAAGCCCAGTAGACCCACGCCACCCACCACGCTCCTTGAGGCACAATGCAACCAACGTGGGATGAGTGCTTTGTTTTGAAGTAGAAGCAATGGCCTCCACCTAATAGCAATGGCCTCCAAACTTAACTTCAATGGCCTCCAACCTAGAAGAAGCAATGGCCTCGAACTTAGAAGCAATGGCCTCCAACCCAGACAACCAAAGATGAGTGTTTTGTTTTGAAGTCCGCAAATGCGCTTTTGGCATTAAACATTGGCTGGAGAATTCAAACCATAGGATCCTCGTTCATATACCACCACCATGAAGGACCTCGCTCGCTCACTGCACACAAGATTTCACTTGAACTTTTGGAGGGTGTCGGACATATAGATAGATAGATAGATAGATACCCCCCAAGTCATTTCCATGAGCATGAGACCGTCTAAACTGATGTAGGACAAAACTCACATTTGTCAGTTCACAATCACAGTCTGACCGTCTGACCCTAGTAGCTTCTTGTTACTACTAGCGATGCACTTGTTCCTGGTAGCGTCCTTGTTACTACTAGTAAGGCACTTGTTACTACTAGCGTGGCACTCGT